TTTGAGTTTAAAGATTATTTTCACAGTTCACGATGTGTTGCGTTGATTCGTTCCCTATTGAGAGTTCAATGTGAAGCACTTGTAGTCAATGGAGAATAAATGGATGTGAACTGTTGACTGTTCGTCATTGACAAAGAAGAATCATATTGCATGGCTGATTGCAACCACATTTGCCTTCTAAATGTTCGGTCAGCAAAGATCCATGTACGCGACGTGTTCGACAATGGATTCATTAACACATAAGGAAAATCTGAGTAAGTGTCGTAATCCGAAAAAAAATTTAAAAAAGTGAGCAATGTTTCGTCAAGTATTTTCTTTTAGATAAGTAATTTATTATGCGATCGAAGATTTTCAAAGGTAACAAAAATTCCTGAGAGAGGGCTCGACAAATTTTTTGTACCCGAGCACATCCTGTTTTTTGCTAATAGTCTAAAATCAATGAAAACCTTCCATAAATTCATAGAAAACTTTATGCAAGTTCAAAATTGAATTTTCACTCTCTGTAGTCATTTCAAAAGAGAAAAGTACTATCACGTATAATTTACAAAACTTCTTAGTAGGTCTGCAGTCGAAGGCAACAATTATTCAAAATGAAACGTTTGTGAAAGCAAAAACATGGATTCGCAACAAATTTCAAAAAGTTTCTCAGTTATTATATTTAATTTGGTATTTTAATGAGAATGATAATTCCACATTGATGAAGATTAAACAGCCTAGTATAATATTGCATACAGTACTATTTGATAATCAATGTTATTCCGCAAATAACTAAAGAATTGTAAATCGGTTGATTTTTTTTTGATGATGAAATATTAATCCCAAATAAGATAGAGACAAACAAAACTGCAAGAATTTTTCTTGGTAGATACTTTTGAATAGATTGTTAACAACATATCGATATCAGCATCGATTGGCTAACTTCTTTTCCATGATGCAACTATCAATATCTGTCGATCAGATTCTTTCTTGATGATATCGTCTTTGTTCACTTGTAAAACTAAGACAAAGTTCTTCATCATTATCACTATAAGCGGCAATTCAACACTTTTGATTCAAGAATACTTCGATAAAAATATTTGTGTCATTTAAATGATACGATCAACAAAAAACATTGGATATTGTATAGAATTGATTTTGATTGATCCATTGAATAAAAGCGATGAATTAGATAGTGTTCATCTCATGTTGAGTGTTGACCTTATATTCACCCATACACCTACATTCACACCCATTCTTCCATTTAATCGTATATGCTGATCAACAATGTATGTCTCTTCAATCAAACATGATAAAACTTCTATAAAACAAACATTTTGATAATTTTTCTCTTTATTTGTCCTCGTTGACTCTAGTTTACATGCCTCTTTTATTGCCACTTATTATTTATTTTTTCCATATTCAAGTAAATAATTGCGCTATTTGTGTCGATAGATAAAAAAAAGCAATTCTATTTATCCCATTCTAGAAAATCATTTTTTTTTTAATATAAACATTTCTATTAAATAAAGTGATATTATTTTTATTCGTTATTGAATGAATAAAATGAATAGTGATCTGTAATTGTCTGCTTCAATCAATGATTACATTGCATAAAGTGAAGAAATCTTTATACTATTGGTATTTATTGATATTGAATGTTATCATTTGAATTAGTTGTCAATTAGAATAACGTTAGAAAATAATAGACTTCAATGACAAATGCCAATAATAAAAGGGATCATGGTACCTAGAGATGCACGAAATAACTAAACTCTCACTTCATCATCACTCCACCTGTCTTTCCTCCTCAAAAAATACGCATTGAGAGGCGGCTTCTTTTTACAAATTGTTCAAGCATCTAAATTGAGTATGTACAATCGTATGCGAATTCCATATTCTTCATCCTAAGTATATATCACAATTACTATTTTATGTTCATCATATTAAATCAAATGTATAGATAAAAGTTATTTTAAAATAGAAAAACTAATCTTAATAGCAATTCTTCATTTTAGAGATCTCGCTGTATTCTAAAAAAAAACAGAATACTATCATTAGAAAATGAGCAAAATCATCATATCTCAAAGAACATCGATCTGTAGTATAAATACGCTTATTTTGATGATTAAACACACTATCTAAAATGAACTGCTTCTTTATCAATAAATAGAATTCTATTATGATTTATTTTAATTTCGTTATTCGATGAAATAAAAAATTAATTTATTATATATAAAGAAATGATTATGTTCGCAAGATCGGAAAAAAATAGTTCGAAATCCGAATATTTTTTGTTTTGTTTTTCAATATTTCATCCATGTACAAATATTTTTCATTTTTCAAAGTAATTTTCACTTCAATAAATAGTATTTTCACTTTTGAAAAAGTTTATTTTCAAAGATTTCATTAATTGAAAATATGACAAAAATATTTATTACACTAATTATAATAAAAAGAACACTTTATCAATAGATATTTATTTTATTTTTTAAATATATTTTTAGAAAAAAATTAATCCAATATAATTGAGAAGCGAAATTGAGAAAAAAAAAGTTTTTTGTTCTTGTTTTGTTCTCAATTAATTTATGTTCTGATCAAATCATTGATATGTGTCATGAGATGACTCATACAAACCTTGTAGAACTATTGAGTAGAAAGAGAAAGAACAGAAAAAAACACTACTTTTTGCACTCATATATTATACTAAAGCCAAGAACAAACGAGAACCTACCGCATGTTCTCATCATCATGAAGAGAAAAACATTGCATTATTGAGTCACCGTTGGATATATATATACAGATACATTTTTCTTCTAGCTTATACATTTAGTTTTGAATATTATTCCAAGTAACTATTGAGATTATATAAAACAAGAATAATATTATCAATAATTTGAATAAAAATACGTATCTATATCGTATATTAAAGAAAAAATGGGTAATCTATTGGATTCACTTACATCCATAACATCACATACAAAATCAATTGATAGAATAAAAGTCGATAATTATATTAGTATAGGTGCATCTGATACTGTTGGAATTGGAACATCGAATCCTTCAAAAGATGGTTGGGTTCCAAAATTTGCATCGTTAATTTGTGCTGAACAAACAATTAATCTTGGTCGAAGTGGATCAACTTTAAAAGATGCAATTCATCAACAATTACCTAAAGTATTTAATTATAAACCAAATGTTATTACAATTTGGTTAGCTGTTAATGATTTTAATCAACAAATATATGATAGATCAATTTTAACTAGTTATACATCAAATCTTAATGAAATGTTATCTCAATTAAGAAATAAATTAGATAATAATACACGAATTCTTGTTGGAAATATTCCAGATTTATCTAAAGTTAGTTTATATACATCACTTGGAATACCTAAACTTCTTCTATCTTCACAAATTAAACGATGGAATGATGCTATTAAACAAGTTGTTATGAAAAATAAATGTGATCTTGTAGATTTATATTCATATTGGAAAGAATTAAGTGAACATCCTGAATATATTTCATTTGATGGTTTTCATCCATCGGCACATGGATATGAAAGACTTGCACAAATTTTTTATCAACAATATTTAAAATAAAGAAATTTATTTAGTCTAATGAATTTTTATTTACAATTCTTTATTGTATTTTATTTCTTTTTAGGATTAATGTAAATAAAAAATATATTTTTATAACAATACAATCATTGATTAAGATTATTCAGAGCGTTAATTCATCGTTTAAGGCCTGACTACCCTTCAAAACATTGATTTTTCTAAAAAAAACACGGTTTGAGATAAACATATAGGCATGACCATTAAGTTGTCTAGTGTAAACTTTCATAAGAACAACTTCTAATTTTAAAAGGTTTCTTCAGAATTCATGATGAGTTTCTAAAGCTCTCCAGCACAAAAGGCTAATATCATATTCATAGGCAAACTATAAGCGCTACTGCAGTTACGACTGTAGCTAGAAGATCACTTTATAAGACTCTAGATGAATTTTTAATTCGTGCATAACATAACCATATTTGATGCTCATGTCAGAAATTTCCTTAAGTGAATATGCAAAAAAATGTTCGCGCATTTTTTTCGAAATAGATTTTTCCGAAGCAGTAAGGAATCCTCTTTGAAATGAAAGTACTCCGAGAGCTGTAGCTTGGATAGAGATATAGATTTGATTCGATTATTATTGAAGATAATTTTGAAAAGTGGAGAAGAGAAGTATTATTGATTTTAGTATTATCGGAGTTGAAAAAAGTGCCATAAATCAACTTTCTTGTCGCTAATATTTGTGAAACACAATCTAAAAAAAGTGATGAAGTATAAATGTAAAAATTTGAACTCATCCCCTTCTCCCTTCCCACATAGATGGCGACACACATCTTAGCAACGATCTATGGCATACCGGGGTAGAGGATGTGGGTGAGTGATGGTGCGTTGAGGAGATATGAAGTTATTAAATCGAAATTGATGCATTTTGAGTTTATCAAAAAACTAAGTAGGACAAATATAATAAAGCTGTATGTTTTATCATGAAGTATTTTTCAGGAACTTTTTACCTACGAAGAGTAGAAGAGCAAGTTTTAACCATAAAAAGTCGAGTTTATTTTATATTTACATTCTGAATATGGTGATTATTTTACGTAAAAGTCAAACTTTCGATAATTAAAACCTGTAAATAGTATTCATTGTTTTGTATTTTTCGTACAAATGATTCTTTCTTAGAACTAAAATGGATTTTCCTCAAATCAAAAATATCGAAATTTTGATTTAGTGATTTTATATCAAATTAGACTTACGGGGTTTTTTCTATTTTTCATAGTTAAAGTATTGATATCAGATATACGTATCAATATGGGATAAGTGGTTATACTCATTATTACCAAAAACTAATAATATAAATTAAACATGATTATACAACACATTGAATAACTAATTCTACCTATTTTATTCTTTAAATTTATACGATAATTTTCATGAATAGTTCCAACTATACAGTATCATCAATATTTATTTCATAATCATTCACATGATAATAAAAATCTTTCAATTATATTTTCACGTATAAAAATATCATTATTATCTACCAAATTAATAATAAAATATCAATTAATTCAATTTAGTGATGAACAGTGGTTTACGTCTTTAAAAACAACCGCATATTGTCAAAAATGACATGGGTGAGTGTTGGATGTGACTGTGGATACAAGTGAAGTGATTAATGACCCTATACATGCACTCATACGCCATCAAATCCGCAATACCAACTCACTCACATGTACACACCTATACGTGTTAAATGGCATTTTTTTAGAATTTTCCAACAACCACTCTTATGCGTCTCGAACAACTATATGTTACTTCTCAAACAATTTCATTTCAATTGGTCGAAATTTCAATGATGTATCAATGTCAGTGCAATTCAAATATTAGTCGACACTCTTTCCATCAGTTATCAGTACTGCTCGATATAAAACTATGCTCTCAAAATTATGACACTTCCGCTCAACACGTTGTTCGATTTAGGCATCCAACATATTACATAATGAATTACTCAAATAATCGTCAAAATTTCATACAAAAAAAAACTTTTTGGCAAAATCCATCTCATTATCATAAAGTTACTGCTGTGATGGGGTTCATAGTTTTGTAGTTGAGCATAATGACTGCATCAGCAAACAGCGGATCAGCAAAATCACAGATGACGATATTGACACCATTAGCAAGCGACGGATCACGATGGTGATCGGTAAGCCATTGAATTAGACGTTGATTTGTTTCGTGACTGACAGAGTGAAGTGAACCGAACGGATGATTTCGAATGGATTTATCATCAGGTGTTATTTGACCTTGAGTAACATTGATAAAATTGGTCGGACGAGGTGATGCAGTTTTTTCGTCAAGAAATCGAAATAGATCATCGACTCGAGTCGTATTTGGCCACGGAGACTGACACATCTACAATGCAAAGATCTACTACTGTTTCTTAATAAATAAAAATCGATTGAGTGTAAACTTTGAAAAAGTGACCAATTCGATCCATGTATGCCGTACATTTATCAGCATTTTCTTCGTACAATATAATGACTTGTTGCTGATTTGTCCACAAATAGTTCAATGTACATTCATTAATTGTTCTTGCTGTTGTACATAACTTCTTTCCGAAAATTTCGTGGATCAATTGAATCAACTGATCATGGCTAGATTGATCGGTGAATTCGTAGAAATGATTGAAATCTAGCAGAACGATTTCTTTCGAATGTTCATCGAGAAACCGATTGATCTCTCTCAAACCATCGGCAACGAGACAGCCGAGTAGACCATGTGTAAAAGTGAACTGAGATGTTTGATTGGAAGCTTTATCTGTCATACGACAGACACGCAGATCGAAATAGCGAATTCCAGTCTCTAACTGTCCTATGATTATGAGAAGAAGCATTCTACTTTAGTGGTAAACAACTAGGAAGTATAAATCATACCGATGAATGTTTCTTTTTGTGTAACACTCCAACGTTTGATGAAACATCCAATCAAAGGAAGAAAACGTCTCAAGCCGACAGACAAATCTGGTCCAGCAGTACGTGTTAGGTCATAGGCAAATGAATTGTGAGAACCTAGGTAGAAGAACAATTTACCATGGAAGACTGACAGGGAGTTTTGCAATAAAAATGTCTGTTCCAATGCTTTTTGGTTACGAAAGTCTAAGTAGTTCCATCATTCAACTTTGTGGGATTAAGATACATGAAACATTTGTCCCTAAAGATACCAAATATTTTATTAACGCATTTAGCTATAGAAAACTCGAAAAATACGCAGAGTTGTCTATAAGAATCAACCAGTGATTTCACAAACATCTCGAGATCATCTCTATACATGGCGGTGAAACAATAGAAACTTTAATCTTGTCTTAAATGAACCAGATTGAACTACGCAGTAATGTTCAAGATTCAACATTAGAGCCCGATCCGTCTAAAAGTACTTATATTAACTTTTGATCTGAGACACTTACCCGGAATAGCAAGCTTCGATATTGGTTCATCATGAAGACTTGCCGGTAAATTTGTAATCCACTCAATATGCTTCTCACGTGGCACACTAAGATCTGTATTAGATGCACAACAGGCTGCTGTCATCCAGTGCATTTCGATCGAGGAACGCAATTGATTATAAAATACTAAAATCAATTTGAATAAGCAAACAACGCTGTCGACTAACTTATTTCACTTGTGCTCTAGACTATGAACAACGAAAGCATATATATATAGAGAGCTTGTGTTTATCAACATGCTGATATTCAAATGAAAAAAATATTTGTGCAGGCAATTGACTATCACATGCACTTAAATACAATACTGCTCTTCACCTGGGCAATAAAAAAAAAGAGGGAGAGAGAGACAAAACAGCGAATGCTGCATATCTATACAAAATTCAAGAAGTTAATAAAGAGCGAGTAGACAAGAATGATCGCCAAACATCGACAGAGTTGTAATTGTTTTACAATTTGAGCACACTATATTCGTTGGTTTTTGTTTTCTTCAAATTTGACAAAGTGAATTCTATGATTGACGTTAACAGTTGAGCTCGATTATCTGTAACGTCCAAGCTGCAGGACCTATTGATGAGAGTAGAAGCGGAGAGTGTGAATCGGCAAGTGTCATACTTACGCATACGCTACATATTGACTTACCTTGAAGTCTCAGCCGAAAATAGTCTATAAGTGCGAGAAAAATAGCTTCGTTTCTCGTAAATTTCAAAGACTCTGGTGTGTCTCTCTCACAAGTACCTTCTTAAACCTTATATTTTCATATTTTGAACGATCATCAAAAAGGTACTGTGATTAAAAAGTACATTGAACATCAGAATGAAATGAAGTCATCTGCGATGTAACTTGTTCGAAAGACGAACCAAAGTATGAAATTTTTACGCCATCTATAGTGCTGATCATATTGGTAATCATTGCTTCAAAGCTTTCAAATCGAGAGTGTAAGTGTGGGTGAAGAAGAAGTGAACACCCAAACCGATCCCATAGTAATGGTGATTTATCATGAGTCATTAACTATTGTCGCGATAGCAAGTAAAAACATGTAGCTGTTATATGTCTAGCATGTACTGATCTCGTTTGGTGAAACAAGACTAAGCTTTCAGTTACCAATGTTACATCAATGATAGGTTATACAGAAGAGTATCTGTTACTTTTAATATTCAATAGATAACGATAACGTCCCAATAATTTAATGCTTCAGCTTGTAGATTACTCATTAACGTAAAATATTTGTATAATGATACATGTATGAAGTCATATAACGACAATAATAATTATTTATTGTTACTTTTTTTTAAAATTATATACTAGCCATGAATAAATTTGAGTTTGAATAGTAAATGGACCTTGATAGACCAGGGGAAAGAACGATGATTCTTTGCATTTAAAGTATTCACATTTATGGAACAATACTTGTCGACAAATAAATACGATGACAGATCTGTTTTCCAAGATGAACTTTTTTAAAATTTCAATTGCAACTTGATTGATCTTTAGTACTATAAAAATCTTTATCATTTCTTTGACATGAATCTACTTACGGACAATACAAGTTTAACTGTTTCTCTTTATTTCATCTATCTTTGATCTTCAAAAACATTGGACATTAAATTAATCAGTATTTCTATATTCACATTTGGTTTCTTTTTCTAATATATAGAAATATCTACTAAGCATACTCAATGGCTTATGTTCATTACCATTTGTTTTTTTCGAGAATTTTCCTACCAATCGAATTATTATTTTTTATTATACAAATGCTTATGTTCGAAATAATGAAATATGACATGAAATTTATTCAGAATATGTCCGTTCTACTCTATGATCGAACATTCTATTTGATTGTTGTTTTGTGGTATGGGACTAACGAATAACATCTACCAGAAACCTACTATCTGTGAATTATTAATTTAATATAGGTTTGCACTAAACAGATGAAGAAAAGAAATTATAGAATAGATAATGAATAACTAGATTACAATATTATGTGTAAAATTTGTAAAAAAAATTTTTTTTTTTCGTAGAATTCTAATAAAGATCTAAAGTATAAAATCATTAATAACATAATAGAATAATATGAATTGTCTGTGAGATTTGTTAACAATCATTTTACACCTAAAAAAACAGCAAGACTGCTGAGAATATATTGTCACTGTAAATGCATATGCGAATCTTGATGGTTTCAAATACAACATTCATCAAAAGAATATTTACTATAAATATGTTTTGACGATGTTTTATTTTCTATGATCATAATTCATAAATACAAATCCTTTTTTTTTTATTTAGAAACGATCCGTTCAACGAATATTTATTTTAAGGTAAGATCGGCTTATGATGTTTCAATAGATGATCATTTTTTGAGAGTTTTTAGAAATATTAAACTTATCATTCTTTATTCTCCTCGTAAAAAGTAAGAATTTAAAACAAGGTACTGCAGTCTGAATATGCTTTTCTATTTTTTATCCTTTTCTGTCCAATATTTCCCGAAAACGTTATGATATAGGACTGAAAATTCCAACATAGCCTTTCCACTATAGCATGTGATTTGAATGCACTTGATCGAAGGTCAATTCTTGAAGGGGATGGAGAGCTTAAATATTCAATTCGTTCTTTTTTAATGTATTTAATAGAATGTTGAAAATATTCTTGTTAACGATAAAAATCAACTCTATAAATAATCTGAAATATTTTATTTGTTCTTTTTTATTAAAGACGAAAGAAATGATTTAAAAAAAACAGAAAATTGTTATTTTGAATCTATTGGAATTCCCATTTGTTGTGAATCATCAGGTCGAGTATTACTTTCTGCAGTATAAGGAATAATTTCTTCTGATTCATATGTTCCATCATCTAATTGAAGAACAAATTCTAATTGAAGTGGTGTTTGTGGTCGACCTTCTTTAGTTATAATACCATATTCATGTAAATGTTTACCATCAATATCAAGTATTTGTCCTTTATATATTAAACGTATTATTTCAGGATTTATTTTAAGTATATTTGCAATAATTTGTTTTAATTCTAATAATGTTGTTGTTTCAGCAACATCAGTAAATATTGTTTGTTTACCACGACGTATTTGTAAATAACAATCAGAATATGTATTAGCAGTTGATGATAATGGTTGCATCTAGAATTTATTTAATAACATAAATGTTTTTTCTAGATGACAAGAAACAAAATGATTTTATCTTTATTTTATCTTTAAAAACATCAAACATAGAAGGAAAATGACTTTATCTGATCTTACTAATTGCATATGAAAATGAAATGAAAAAACAAAAAAAGTTTTTCTTTCTAATAGAAATAATCAAATTTAACATTATTGACGTTTAATTTGTTCAATTTCTTGTTCAATACGTCGTTTTTCAGCTTCAAGAGCACCAAGACGTTGTTGAAGTGTACCTTGTGTAGTTGTTTGACGATTACCTGAAGAATGTTCAGCTCGATATTTAGCAATTTGTTCAGCATCCTATAATACAAATATATTTCCTATATTATTTTTCTATTTTAATTATCTTTTACATGACGACGAGCCCAACGTGATTCTTCAGCATGTTCTTTCTTACTAAATGCATCATTACCTGAACTAAAAAGAAAAGAAATATATTTCAAATGAAAAATTACATAGAAATTTTTTTAGGAAACATACGCAACAGAACCAGCTTCAGCATCGGTACCTATTTCAGCACTGAAATGATAAAAACTTTAAAATAATAATTAGTTGGAAGGTTTCTATTACCGAGTAACAGTTAATATCGGACGAACGATACGTTGAGCAAGAGCTCGATTTGATGAATTAATTATACGTAACATGATATGTATGTAAATCTAAAATTTAACACGAAAAATAATCATAAAACGTTGCAGAGAAATTTAAAACAAAATGATGCAACTATCTGTCGTTATAAACTTTAAAAAAGAATAAAGATTTACATGTCTATACATGTTATTGCTGTACTTATGTGTTTGTTTCTAAGGAGATCCATGTATTATTATTCTTAAACTATAGCAAGAAGTTTATGGAATCACTATTAGGAATTGTTCTCAAGCGACATCTATGTATTATAAAGAAACACAACTACAAAATCAAATATTTATAAAAGTATCGATTTGAATGTACTACGACAAACGATCAAAAGTGACAAAATTTTAATTAACAGAAACTAATGTACATAATATTTACAATAATCCATCAAATACCATCATCTTTTCCTTAGTTATTACAACTACAAGAACTCAAAATTAATATCTCTGTTTTAGATAAATAAGAAAAATTTTCACTTTTACATAAAAGTGTGCACTGTATTTAATCTTCAAGCAAGATTTATTCATAATGAATTATGTCCTGTTTGTGGTGATGAAGTGTCTTCTCATAGGGTACTTGAAAGATGATCTAAATAATTTCATGAAGTTCAATACGAAGTTGAAGAATGATCAAATATCATAGAAAAACAGAACATTGTTTTTATTATCGAACTATATAGAGAAAAAGTTTCTTTAAGCTTTTTTTTTTTTGTTGAGGAATTAAAATATTTCCGCCATCACTTTTAAATTACCCTAAATACAATAATCGATATAACCTGAAGTACTCTTTCAACATATAACTTCATCGAAATATTAGATACCTACGAATTACAATAATGTATTCACAAGCTATATGTATTTTTCATGAAATTCCATAACGAAACTCATTTATATTGCTAATTTTTGCAATAAAAATGACATCTCTAAACAGAAGGGTTAATTTTCGCATCTGTTTTATAAAAATACTGTATTAAAAAATTTCATTAATATCCAACAATTGCGATGTGTCTAAACTATTAAAGATTTTATGCTGTTCTTGTTCATAAAGTATGTCTATTTTGAATTACCATCAAATTCTGAATAAAATTGAGTATTTAAATTATGAAAATTCCTACTTTGATTTTTTTCGAAAATTTCTCGGGCAGAAAAAGGTGAAAATTTCTTCTTCTTCCTTGGATTTTAGTGAAAAATACATCATTATATGCAAAACTTAATGCTGTTAATGAATATATGATTGCTTTTATCTTGGTCTAAACTTTGATTTTCATCAAAAAGATGAAATTTCGTAACGAACACTATTTTTTATTGCAATTATACTTTTTAAGAAATGAAATGATATTCTGAAAAGTTGTTTCAAAATCAAGCAACTTTTATGCAGAACATTTAAAGAAAACTGATGATTTGAGTTACTCCGAGCCAAGTGTACAATCAACGTATTAATAACACGGATGAAACATTTGAATTACAAGAAGCTACAACACATTTCTATGATGAGAGGCGTGAAAAAGAAAGAACTGACAAAAATGACGCTCTAAGTGTTCAGTTCGACGTCGATATTAAAAAGCCATCTTCGATCATAAAGGATACGGAACAGTTTCACGATTTTGATGAATATTAATCGGTCCGCCTCAGTATAATATTCGTTTTGTTGCATCAATAAACATTACACAATCAAGATACTATGATATATTTCATTCCGTGCTGATCTTATGAAAGATCATCAATTGCTTGCTGTCTGAACATCTCCAACTGATACACTCCATTTGAGCTCATATTTTGCTCATTGGTAGAGCTCAAAGTGTAGATAAAAACTCTAAAAGGATATTTCCCATTAGACCCTTGTTCTCTAATTATGATCATTTTACTGGATTTCCAGCCTATTACAGAGTGTTACGAGCAAAATCAAGACCAGAAATTTCACTTCAAAATAGATCTCACAGTTTTGATAACATCTGGCAAGTTTCAGTTAAAATTGATGGTTTCTTCAGAAGGTGTTGAATGCTAAACAAAATCAGATTTTCTCGTGAGACAAGACCTTTTCTTGCACACTTATTCAGTTTCAATATATTCGTTCTTTTCTCGCAAATGGCGTCCGAATGTTTCTAGATTTTCATTTGAAATGATTGTACAAATAATGATGTTGATCGTTTATTTGAAATTACAAAGCGTCTTATCATTTTGAAAAACTATTTGAATCTTTTGCTATTCGACAACAGTTGTCGTTGAATAGAACAAAAGAAAAGAAACACCAAGGGTTTTCATCTTGACATTCTGTGCCAATATTTTGATTGTATTGATACAACGTATGTTTTATCAGAATACAACAGATACATTTTTATATGATTGTACGATATTCTATTAGCACTTTACTGGAAAAAATGAGAAAGCTTTGAAGAGAATATTGCAGAAATTTTAGTAAGAAATTCTTGATTAATATTTACTCCTTTTGAAAACATTACAATGAAAATATAGATCACTATTGAGGTAGAAACTCTAAAGTATTGATCTTATTTTGATAATTAGCAATGACTTGCTCATTGTTCCATCAATAGAATTTATTTTCTTGTAGAATCCTACAATTCTTTCAAAATATTTTTGTAAAGTTGGATGTTCGGATGGCATTATTTTTGCTGCCATACTATGAGCACTATGATATTGTTCGAGAGCACGATCGTAGAACCCTTGTTTTTCCCAAAGATTACCAATCTTAATTAGTGTACTAGCAATTTTTGCGTGCTCGGATAGAAGTACACGTTTAAACATTTCCAGTGCTTTTGTTAAGAAATTAAATGCATTTTCATAATCACATAAATGAATGTAGTTGTCACCGATAGCTGCACAAACTATCGCTATGTTTACATGATCTTGTTCAGAATAATTTTGTTGCCGAATACGTAATGCTTCCATAAGAAGTTCCATAGCTGTCTTGTGATCACCATTACGTATATAGTCGCATCCAAGATTTAATGAAGATCTAGCAATATCTAAATGGTTTTCTGGTAAAGTTTGTTTTCGAATTTCATAGGCAACCTTATCATATTTTAATGCTTGAGTATAATTACCTCTCACATAATGTGTGTATCCAAGACCGTGATATAATGATGAAAAATCTTCATGATTTCTAGGCAGAGAATTTAGAATAAGTTCATAATATCGTTCTGCTCTTGAATATTGTCCCATATTAATAAGTAATTTACCAAATAATCGTGTAGGATTCGTTTCTGCTAAATCTTTTCGCATTGAGTTCACATGCTGTTGAACATGTTCTAATCCGTCATCTGTAAGAGTAAGTGGCACACGCCATATTTTCAATTTAACATCATACATAATATTTTCGATTCTGAATGTTGTTCCAATACTAAATAAAACTTCTTTTTCTTCTGGAAATCGACTGAAGTTTTCTATAGGAGCTCCGACAATTGTCTTGTTCTTTATTTTTGTTGGATCAAGTCTTATTTCGAATAGAATACTTTTATTCTCAAAATCATCTTCACCAGCAAATATTAATGCTACGTTAAGATCTTTCGATGTAGAAAAAAATCCATTCGGTGATATTAAATTTCCAATGTTTGCCTTTAGTATTTCAAATTCTTCTTCATGCATTTTTTGACCTCGATACAATCGAATGCATGATGTAGATGACAAATAATCAATGTTGATGAGTTCAATCTGTTTACATAGGTCGATAAGATAAAAACGGATTAGATATAACAAATAAATATCATCGACTTTTAAAGCTTTATTCATGAGTCGATAAACGAAACTATTTTCTGTATACCAACGAATAGCATCTGAAGGTTGATATGTGTCTGCAAATTCTTTGATTTTATCTAATTGCGATTTATTGCGTCGGTAGTGATGTTCACATATATGAATCATTTGCTCTTTAGCTTCGCTTGTTCTTGGTAGTTCCTTTAAAACATCCAACAGTATTCGAAACCATAAAAATGAAGCTGAGTTATGTGCAAGTTCGCGCATTGCTTTCTGCTTTGTACTATCGAATAAACTAAATGTAACTGTTTGTTTCGAAAACATACGAAAACGATTTTCTATAGATTCAATCAAAGAATTTCGATTATTACAAATAATAATATCTTTTCTATATTGTCTTGAATCAATATCAAAAAAAGAAGCTCCAGTAGCATAAATAAATATCGAAGCAATCGTGTTTATTCATTGAACACGAGGTAAAATAATCTCAGCCATGGAATGAGATAGTATTAGAAATATTTTTTCGTTAACTACGGATTGAATGTAAGTAATACAAAGTTGTGGGTCAGTATATAGTACAATGTAATCATTTGATGCACAAATTTTCTCGAATGTTTGCTGAAAATCGATTGAATCATCAATATGCTCATCTAACCAAACCAAAGTGAGATCTTCCTTGTTTTCTGTTAGGTCATTAGGTTTACAATCGCGCCATAGTTTTTCCTGTTGATTATCATCATCATTTCTCAATTCGTGTTCATTAGACGATTGTTCTACAATATTGTTATTCATCTAAAATAAGAAAAGATTTAATAATTAATGCAACTTTGTAGAACATTTCGAAAATGAAAAAGTTTCTGAAATCCATATACATAATTTCTATAAAGATAATAGTTTATAAAAGTTTTCTAATTTATGAGCATCCAATAATGTCGAACATATATACGATGTATTTCATACATAGGTCGACTGATTAAATGACGATCATCATCAGTTAATGCTGATGGATTTTCAAAAACAGTAGATTTAGTATATATAACTTTATTGTCTGAGTCAAAGGTTAAATTGTATTGTTCTATTTTTCCTCGTTTGAAGCCATGTTTGTCATAAAATTGACAAGCTGATAACATACTGGTTAGTGTCGTTAAATGAATAGCTTTATATCCAAATGTTTTTGCATATTCTATCAATGTTTGTAGTAGCTTTGAACCGATTTGTTGCCTTTGATACTTCGATAGTACAGCTAATCGGCGTAATTCACATATTTGTTTAGGATCTATATAAGACGAAAATGCAGG